AGAAACACACTCACATACCACACCACACCACAAACACACACAGGCGCAGTGAAATCGCGTTGATCACACAGTCAACTATTTTTCGGTACCGTGAAAATGACGCCACGGAAACGAAACGCTACCGGTAACGATTGTTCCTGTGAAATCCTCAGGCTTGCCGTAGTTTTTTTTTTTTTTGTTTGTTTGTTTTGACTGAGAAATTTCCTTGCGTCCCAAACACGCACATTGTTTGGAACTGTGCGTCCTGTGGGTTAATTTTGCGTCTCGGACGCGGGACGCAGAGATAATGAGATGGCTGATCTCTAAACATTCTCTGAGTACTACTATTATTACCACTCCCACTAATACTACACTACATTAATTAATACCTTCAACTTAACAATAATAATAAAAATAATAAATCAACCATGATTTTAAATTATGTATTATCAATATTCATTATTCCAAACATGAGAAAGCATTCACCAAAAACATAACTGGAATCGAGCAAAAGGACTCCAAATCCCAACGGCCAAACCCGGAAGTGAAGTGCCGGCATTATTGACTCCAGCTGTAACGCAAATTACTTGGTTCAAACAAACATTATAGTGCCACCGCAGAAACGTGACGACTGTGCAAAAATAACTACATAAAAGACACCACTGTTACAGAAAGACTTTACACGCTATTTAAACTGCCGATCGCGAACGGAACAAACCGTGATTGAAACTAACTGTGATGCCGCTCTTTATTCGTTGCGCTAACTGTCGCCTGTCAGTGACAGACCCGCCCCTTTTAAAGCGCCAGCTTAGTCCATCAATATGCGTTTAGCTGGATGGAATTTATTTGTTTCCTTCGTGGTTTTTGCGATCCTCGGTCCCACTTAATACCTGTGGACATCGAGGCTCTAATCCCTCATTGTGTCCGAGGACCGGCAACCCGAGGCCAAGGCCAAGGACTTGACTCCCAAGGCCGAGGCCAAGGCCAAGGAATTGACTCTCAAGGCCAAGGCCAAGGACCAAGGACCGACCTTCGGTCCTCGAGCCGGTCCTCGAGGCCAAGGACCGGCTCGAGGAACACATCTCTGGCGTGTATGTGCGGTTACAGTTTGATCGTGGAAGGATGGCTACTTAAAAAGTAGATTTTGTGTTAGTAGACAAACAAGCATTCACACTCACAATCACACCTGCCAACAATTTAGAGTGGTCAATGCATGCAAACTACCATGCATGTTTTTGGAATGTAAAAACCGGAATGCCTGGAGAAAACCCACACAGGCACAGGGAGAACATGAAAACTCCCCACAGGAAGGCCAGGGCCCAAAATCGAACCCATGACCTCTGCACTGTGAGGCGGAGGTGCTAACCAGTCAACACCGTGCCACCCAAAAGAGAATACAATGATTTACATCATGTTCAACCTTTACTGATGTGAATAGAATACAAGGACAAGATATTTAATGTTCAAACTGATCAAGACGGGCATCCATCACTCAGGTGAAATGGGCTAAGGACAAAAATTGCCTTCGAACACTTTAAATGCGGCATTGGGCATCCAACCACGGGTACTGCATTGGGAACGTACCGGCGGAGCACAGGGCGGGCGTGGGTGGACTTATTTATGAAACTAGCAAGCATATGTGTGGGGGCAATTAGTTGTGTCCCCCAACTTTCGGCCACAGGCCTTCGGGCTTGCGCATGACAATTTCTCTGGTTACTCAGGAAAGCAAGTTCAAGTCAGTCAAATTAAATGAGTTTTGAATCAGTCAAGAAGTCGTAGAAAGGGTTCTGTCAGTCGTCATCTGTACCTGTGGGTAAAAAACAAAAAAAGCAAAAAAGGACGTTTCGCTTCTCTCACAGAAGCTTCGTCAGCGGTAGACAACCCTGAAGTCTCCGTGAAGACTCCGGGAAGTTGCTCTGCGCTAAAAAGCTGAGCGTGGCCTGTTTGAGGACTGGGT